AAAAGACTGGAAAAAAAGATGTTTTATAAGGAAGAATGAATTAGTGGCATTGGTATTACCCTCTATGAAGAAATAGAATGTGAAAATCAAAACAAATAAGGAAAAAAGTGTTTTTATAATATGCAAGACCAACCAAATAACAGTGGAATTCTTGCAAACAAAAAGCTTCCTAAGAAAGAATAAATTAGTGGCGTTGGTGTTTCCTGAGAAAAGAAATAAAAAACTGAAACAAAGTAAAAATAAGAAGTTTCTAAGAAAGAATGAATTGTTGGCACTAGTATTACCCATTAAGAAGAGAAATAATATAACAAATAAAGACAAAATTTTCTCATTAATTATGTTTTTCGATAGTATGCAAGCATAAGCATATAATAGTTCAATTTTCACACACAAAGCTTACGAATAAGGAGTGGATTAATGGCATTTTGTTAATGAAGTTTTTACAAAATTAATGAAGTTTTTACAAAAGAGTGAATCGGTGGCATTGGTATTGCCCTTTAAAAATAAATTGAATGAAAAAATAACAAATTTCACACAATTTACATAGAAAATGTTTTTTTATAATATACAGTAATAAGTATATAATAGTGGAATTTTCGCAAAAGTTAGTTCCTCGGAAGGATTAATTAGCGGCATTGGTATTGCCCTTAAAAGAAGAAGAAATAAAATAGAATCAAAATAGTGAAGTTTTCTAAGAAAGAATAAATTAGAGCATTGTTTTTGCCCTTTATGAGAAATAAAACAAATAATGACAAAAATTGCACAAAAATTGCGGGGTTTTTTGTAATATGCATGTAATAGTGTAATTTTCAAGAAAATGGTTTCCTAGGAAGTAATGAAATAGTGGCATTGCTATTAGCCTTAAAGAAGAACGAGATGAAATAAGAAACTCAAATAAACTCTAAATAAAGCTTTCTAAGGAAGAATGAATTAGTAAAGCTGCTATTACCCTTTAAGAAGAAAAAATATAAAAATGTACTTAAAAAAACATGCACACAACTTTGCACTTTTGCACTATGAGTGCACTTTTTGTAGCAAAGAATGAGCATATTATCTCTTTTGATACCAGCACCATCGGCGCCCCCCCCCCCCTTGTCGCCTCCCCTTAGGCGACGCCAGGGGCCCCCGAACCCTAGCGCCGCAGGCCTCCTCCCGCGCCTCCGTCTGCCACCGCTACCGCCGGCGAGGGCCCCGATGGTGGCGGGCCTGGTGCCAAAGGCACCAGGGCGGGTGGACACGACAAGATCTCATCGGAGGCGGCAGGGGTGGCCCTTCTCGTGGGATCCGAAGGCGGCGGCTCGGGCGGCGATCCCTTGCCATGCGGCGGTGGCCGAAGCGCCATAAGCCGGCGGAGCGGAGGCCCTGGATGGATGGCGGCGGTGGCAGCGCCACACCTGACGGGGTGCTTGATCTGCGCGGAGATGGTGGCGGCGGCGACTGCGGATCCAACCCCGATCGGATCCGCCGCGCGGTGGCCTTCAGCCGACCGGTGGCGCATTGAGGGAACGGTGAGGAGATGCCGGATCTTGGCCGGTTTACCGACGTCGGCGTTCGTCTTCGTGGCGAGACTCCGCTCTGTTCTAGCCAACCGCGAGATCGGGCGACGTGGCTTCCAGTGAAAATCGTGCCTGACTGCGGTCATGGCGGACGATGGCGGCGTCTCGGACGTCGTTCCCTTCTCGAGGCATCATCATTGTAGGTCACGTCAACCTGATCAGAAGGTTCCGAGGGAAACCCTAGATCTGGATCGACCGGATCGGACGATGGCGACGTTTCGATGTCGTTCTCCCTTCTGGGGGCATCATTTTGAAGCAAGTGTTGACTAGAGGGGACAAGAGGAGGAGTGGCGTGGTATCTGACACGTCGACAACGGCGGGTCTCAGCGGCATGGAGCAGCGGGGTCTCACCGGTGGGCGTGTGATGATGGACGAGCACAGGATGGTGGCGTTGTCTAGCGTCGACGGCAGCTAAACCGAGCAAGGTACATGCAGCGGTACAGCACTAAAGATGGATTGGTGGCAAGTGGCTGCGGCGGCCTCATACCCGACAGGCGTCCAGGTTGAGGAGTGCGCCGGACTGATGGGTGCCCCATACCCGGCAGGCGTCCTGGTTGGGATCTCAGATCTTAGATGTTAGGTTTGGCTGCAAGGTCTGTTTTGGTATTAGTCCTAGACTATCAGCATCCTTTAATCAACTAGATAGATAGGAGTAGCGACAGATGTTGCCTAGACTAGACGATGGCTTCAGTCTTATTTTTGTATAATTTTGTAAGGTCTTGTGTGAATAATTAATAAAGTGGCTGCATGCCTCGTCCACATGCAGAGCACGGGGGTCCTTCTCCATTTCTAAAAAAATTGTGCAAGTTTTCACACTCTATTATAATATACACACATACTGTATAGTACACATATATTATATAGTACTTGTGTGTATACATTTACACTCACCTATAATGTTTAAAAAGTTGACTTACCCAAATTTAAAAATCAGGTAACTTGCATATAGTTAAACTGGACTCCTTTATAGACCAGTCACCACACAAGATAACTCTTTTAAGCATCCAACTAGAACTTAGTAGCCACATTTTGAACACCAAGCTTTTGAAATCGACCAAATTTGATTTCTGACCCCACCCAAAGTTGTATGGTTCACCGGATGATTGTACCTACGGACATGTGGGCATGAGCTGATCTGCTGGTGGTGCCTGACACTTCCTCCCCCCTCTAAGAATGTAGATTTTGTTCACTTGGTAGTAATTAAAATGCCATAAAATGCTAGTTCATAATGTTACATTGTGATTTGCTAAGATTGGCACCGCAACTAATCAACCTCTAGGTCCGCCACCAAGCTCAGAAGAACACAACATGAGAAAGTTGGTTGAAACAAATTCAAGAAAAAAATCTTAGAAGTGAAATTTAGAGTAAAGGCAAAAATCATAAGTATTCCAAAAGCTTAAAATTGGAACAAAATCGCAAAATTTAAGAATAATAATGAGCATAATGCTATGATTTTCCCTCAATTCTTTTAAATCTTTTGTGACTTTCTCGAATAACCTTTTTCATTACTTCCCCACGAAAAACATTTATTCATTAGTTATTTGTATTTTTCATTCTTCTCAATTTTCATAATGTTAATCCAAATAGATTCCAATCTATATGTTCTATCAAAATATTACTTTTCTACATTTTTCCTCATCATTTCTCCTATTTTGTGAAATATATTTTGTGTAGACTAGGTAAATCGTATGTGCAAAACTGTCATTGCCTGACCGATCATACTGCTTCACCGAGAGATGAGCACCAAGTTTCTTTGGTTCGAAACGTTTAGGTACAAGATGTCGGTGTTGAGCGGATAATTATGGAAAGGGGTGAAAACCGAGTAGAAAACTTGCGGAGCTCGGTGCTGCCTCATTTGCTTGTGTATCTTTTAGAAGCGGAAACGAATATATTTTTTGTCTGGTAATATGGGTCTCATTCATATAATAAATATCAAGTTACAAGCCACGATAAAACATTGACTTCGAAAAACTGAAAGGACAGTAAAACTCTGGTCTTTGCACAAAGGACCACCAGCCAATAAGACAAAATACTATCATGAGCAAAGAATCCCTTGAGCTTTACGTCAACTCCTGTCACCTGACTCCGGCACCACCACAACAGCCACCAAAAAATGTGGCAGGTGACCTCTTCACACGAGCTCGACGCAGCTCCATCGCTGATATGCGGCTTTTCGGACCTTCAAAGCAGCTTAACAAAGGTGAAGCAGTTGTTGTTGAAAGACTCTGGTCAGGGAAGCACTCCGAATACGCCATCGAACTTTAGATCTAGCATCCCCGCTTGACGATGATGTCAAAGGAGGAAACTATACATGTCAGCCACCAACCACGAACCCAGCACATGAACCATCGTCTTCCAGTTGTCGTCGACACAGATCATAATCTGCATCCACTCCTGTACCACCACCTCCTGAGCTCCGCGCCGAGGACACAAGTCCACCATAGGGATGTCACTGCCACACCATCCCCACTTGAACAGACTAGCAACCAGATTCATCACCCACCAATGAGCAGGTATTGCTAGAAACTGATACAAAGCGAACACCATGCAACGCAGACACGGATACAAAAATGAAGTTTGTCGGAACTCAAAAACCACTAGAATCATATAGAAAAACGAAACCAACAAACTTGTTCAATTGTGCACCCATAAGCAGAGGTGGAAGATGAAAGTGGGAGGTGTTGGGGTTGGGGGGGTGGGGGGGTGATAAAAGTGGGAGGGGGGAGCCAGGGGCAAGAATCACGAGAGTAAGGAGATAGGTTGGGCAGGCTAGAACAGAAAGAAGATAGACGGAAATTTCCGCATTTGAGGATACTGAAATTCTGTTTCCACATGAGTTTTATCGGAGAAACATCATTCGGTTCTGTTCTCATTTCCGATTCTGCTTCCGTCCCAAAAGAATTCTGTTTCCGTTTCCATGTTTTCATTCCGTTTATACTTTAGTGAAATGAAATATGAATAACAGAAGATATCAAACTTCACGTCTGTGGAAATAGAATAAGGAAATGAGGTAGAAGTGCATGTCTGGTTCATCAGAGTTGTCAGGCACAGGAAGATCTTTTCACGTCTGGTTACTCCACCGGTAGTTTATGATCTTACTTACATAGCCCGGTTGGCTTTCTGAACCCCGATCAGGAACTAGATGCTGCGAAAGCAAAACGAGATTTCTTGATGCTGTAACTTCCTCGGTCAGTCAATCACAGGAGATAAGACTTGTCCCTCACACAAGCATCAGAACCTGGCTGGCTTTACCGCATTGTGTAACAAGGCTGCTGCTCCTGCAGCAGCAGCAGCAGTGCTAGCTGTAGTTTTAGTGCAACAGCAACGCCATGGTCCATGGAGAGGCCTCCCGCTCAAGCTTTCGGCCTTCCATATATGGCCTCAGGCACAATGCCCAAAATATGCATGTACTCTGGAGCGGGCGACATGAGCAGGTGCGTGTCCATGAACCCGAGAAACCTCAGCGGCAAGCTGGCGGCGGAGGATGGCGTTCGTCCTGAGACGGGCCAGAGCCAGCCGCAGCAGCACGAGCCGGAGCACGGCGGCGATGGCGGCGACGGCGAGATGGTGCATTTCAGCCACCCGGAGCACCGGCTGGCCCGGTTCGACTTCCCGTACCTCTTCCTGTGCATGGGCTGCAAGGAGTACGGCGCCGGCAAGCGGTTCATGTGCCAGATCTGCGGCTTCCAGCTGCACGAGTTCTGCGCCCTGGCTCCCCCCTCGCTCCACGACCACCCCTTCCACCCCAAGCACCAGCACCTCCTCTTCTTCGAGAAGCCAGGTAATGGCGACGAACCATCCATCACACACAACCGAGCACGCAGGCACGCAGCCTCTACTTACGACGAAGATGCATGCGTTTTGATCAGGCGGGTTTCTCCGGTGCAAGTGCGACATCTGCGGCAAGCCGGTCAAGGGCTTCTCGTACCGGTGCGCGTGCTGCAGCTTCGACGTGCACCCATGCTGCGCGGCCATGACGCGCCGGATGGAGCTCCCGGCGCACGCCCACCCGCTGCTGCTGGCGCCGGACTCGGGCGCGGGCGCCGGCGTGGCCACGAGCTTCGTGTGCCAGGTGTGCCGGAGGCGGCGGTCGGGGCGCGTCTACCAGTGCATGCCGTGCGGGTACTACCTGCACGCCAAGTGCGCCAAGGACATGGTGAACGGGCTCTACGAGCATGGCGTGGTGCCGCCGGAGAAGAGCAACCCGCTCGTCGCCGTGGCCAAGGTCACCATCAACGCGCTCTTCAGCGTCATCGGCGGCCTCATCGAGGGCATCGGCGAGGGGATCGGGGAGGGCTTCGTGGAGAACATCGGCAGGAGCAGAGGCAGAAGCTTCAGATGAATCAATCAAGAGGCTAAAACATAATGTGTATGTGTCTGATGGCGAGTGGTGTTTATCTTTGCAAAAGTGTACCTCGTAAATGTATGTCAGGGCCTTTTGGTTTGTTTGAGGAAAAACAGAGAACTTTTCTAAAAAGTTTGAATGGATACTCTTATTTTTCTAACTTATAAGATTGAATGGATACTAAATTTCCTATGAAATGTAGTTTGAGAAAAAGAAGGTTTTCTTCCAAGAAGAGGTTTGAGTAGATGCTAAATACCCTATTGCCGAAAAAAGGTTTCCCCCGCTTTATATTATAAAGCAAACATCGCCGAGTACAACCGAGATACCGAACAACAACGCACACACCGCACACACCCAAGGCAAGAGCAAGATACAAAGGTGCCAGGCACCGACACACCACCCCACCGACTACCAATAGAGAGGTGAACCGGACCAAAACGAAGCCAGGCCTCCAAAGCGGTGCCTCCAAGAAAGATACAACCATGGATAGCCGCCATCGCCTGACCAGCGAAGATCAGGTTTTTACCCGGAGCAAGACGACAAGAGTGGAAACGCCAAGAGTGGAAACGCCGCGACGGAGCCTTCAGGAAGGGTACGGCGGCAAAGGCCACCGTCATCGTCGGCCAGTCAAAGTACTGGACAGGTGGTGTACCCCGGCACTCACACCCCACCGTTGAACCTGAACTCCGCCAACCACCCGCAACCACGCCACCCACGCGGCCATGGTTGCCTGCCCGCACCTGAGACGCACACTACGCCCACGAACGTCGCGCCTCCCGCCGCCAGAGCCGCCGCCCTGGCAACTAGACAACCCCAAGACCTACACAAAGGCCCCAGCTTTGGACCAACCGATGGCCCTCGACCGACGGAACCACCCACAGACGCTCCGCTGGTAAACCTGCGCCAACCCGCCCGCGGCTGAGGAGAGGGGGAGAAAGGGGAGCGGACGAATCCGGACCGGCAAACCGTGCCGGCGACGGGTGACGCGACCGCATCGAGGCCACCCATCCCTCCAACCAAGCTCCCCGTCGAACAAGGAGAAAGGGGAAGAAGGAGGAGCGGACGCATCCGGACCGGCAAACCGTGCCGGCGACAGGTGGCACGACCGCATCGAGGCCACCTATCCCTCCTACCAAGCTCCCCCGCGAGCACCCCCATGTCGCCCCACCATGGTAGCTGACACACATCTCCGCGAGGCCATCGGCAACCGCGAGCCCGCCGACGAGGGAGACCAAACCGACCCGCAGCTGCAGCCATGAGAGCTCACCGGAGATGTCTCCTCGCGCCGTCCGCCGACGTCCGAGCGCCCGACCAGGAAGAATCGGCCAACACGCCCCGCCAGCCACCACCACTGCGCCGCCACCCCCACCAGCCCGAAGCCAGGGCAGGGGCGGCCGCCCGCAGATCCTTGTCGCCCGCGACCCACACCAACGCAGCGCCCAGCCAGGAACCGGCCCAGGCCACCGGAGCCCGCCACCGACGCCCTGCCTCAACGCGACCGCCGTCACGCCAGATCCGCCCGCCGCCAGGACCGCCCGCACCAGCCGCTCGCCGCCCCTGCCGCTCCATGCACCGGCGCGTCCTTCGACGCCCGGCCCGTCGCGCCACCGCCACGCGCAGCGCCATCACCACTCCGCCGCGCCGCCTCGCCCTGGGATAGCGAGGCACCCCGATCCAGCCGCGTCGGCCCACGCCAAGGCCGCTGGGAGGGGAGACGAGGAGGCCTCGCCGCCGCCGGCACCGGCCAGGCTTCGCCCGGCCGCGCCCTCTGGCGGCAGCGAGGGAGGAGGAGGGGTGGGGAAGGAGTTGGCGGCAGCGCGCTAGGGTTCCTCCCGTCGCCTCGCGGGGGGCGAGCGGGAGGGAGGGCCTGCGCGTTCCTGGCTCTCCCCGTCACTCTCCTAAATACCCTATTGAGAACTCCCTCCGTTCGAAATTACTTGTCGCAGAAATGGATGTATCTAGACATATTTTAGTTTTAGATACATACATTTTCGAGACAAGTAATTCCGAACGAAGGGAGTACAAAAGAACCTTTTGGCCCTGTTCGGTTGGCAGGGATAAGTCTGCCACAATCCCCTTGGGAGGGGGTGTAACCGAACAAGGCCTAGGGAACTTTTTAAAAGAATCAATCCTACCAATCAAAAAACATGTATAAGAAAAATTGCTAAAGGTTTTGATCCTCCAAAAGTTCTCTGAAAATCTTTTTGAATCAAATAGGCCTATATATAAAAGAGCAAGGGAAGCTCACCTTATTTCCAATCTCCATGATGGTTTCTCCGGCTAGCATGGAGCATGTGATTCCAGCAAAATGTAAGTGAACACCAACTGAACATGATGCAGTAATATAAAACACAGAGGCATAACAACAGATAACCATAACCACCAGACCACAAGACATATGTCCAAAATAAATCTATATAGATTATTATATGTTCACTTTAACGAATATATGTCGCCACCATCTGATAAGTCTACCACAATGCACTCACAACACGATCTATGAGGTAAATAGGTACAGTAAAACAGCATCCACGGTTCAAACAGAAAAAATAAGCCATGTCTAGCCAGAGCACCAAAGTTTCCCGCAAAACAACTATGCCGGCCTGTATCAGAAGACACCTCCACCTCCCTACGGCTGTGGATGAAGAATATGTGTGCAGAACGCCTCGCCATCCATAGGGGGTAGTACTAACTAATTCAGAAGCGAATAGAACTTAGACCAGGGAGGTCTAAGGTTCTGCCGGCCAGGATCAACGCGACGACAGCTAGGGCAACTGCGACTCCGATGAAGATGTACTGCCGCGTTCTCCTTTTGAACTTGTTACGCAGGGGTGCGGGCATGGGCTGCAGCTGCCTCACAATTGGTTTAGGGATCCTCTTTATGATTATGGGTTGTGGTTGAGGAACATCAACATTCCTAGTATTATCAGTTGTGTTGCTTTCAGTGTCTGCTGGAGCTATAGGTGCAGAGTTGCTCTCGCCACTTGTCAAGGCTGCTGGTGTAGTGCCAACCTTTTTAGACTTCTTTGCTTTCTTCTGCACATGTTTGCAATAGGATGAGAATTAATAATTTGTTGTGTGGGCAGTACAGTATATCAAGAAGGAATGAGCTCTAACATGAAGGCAGGAAATTGTGGAAACATACCTTTTCCTTCATCTCAGCTTCCTTGCGTGCTTTGAACTCCGCCCTTTCCTGAGCCTTTTCTGCCTTCTTCTTCTTTCTTTCCTCAGCCTCCTTAGCTTTGGCTATTTGCTCCAACCGGAGTCGTTCCTTTTCAGCTGCAGCCCTCTGCGCTCTTAGTTCCTCCTCCTTGCGTGCCAACTCCTCCCTTGCTAACTCCAACTCCTCCGCCAGACGAGCCTTTTCCTTTTCAATCTGCTTTACATCTACCACTTCTGGAGCTGGAGCTGGAGCTGGAGCTGGGGTTATTTCTTTCTGGGTTGAACCACTACCAGCTGCCTTTGGTTTAGCCTGCTTATGAGTCTGGGTTGGTGGTAAAACAGGGAAGGAATCCTCTTCTACAGGGACAACAACTGCAGTAGACTTTTCAGGTGCTGCCTCTGAAGTTGTAATGGGCACGTTTGGGCTTGAAACAGTGAGTTGAGATGGATTGTTGGGTCTTCTACTGTAATTGTTACTGGGAATGACGGGAGGCTCCTCATCAGGACCAAGTGATCTTCCATCATGGGTACCTAATCTCCTCAGAGTACTAATCTGGTTTGCTTCAACATACAGCCTGCGGAAGTCATCATCTTTGTTCCACATCTCCATAAAACCCTCAACCTGAAAGCGAAAGAACATTAAAAAATTAGTAAATTACTGATCAATGTAAAATAGCATAAGATTATATGAGGATCAAGAAAGAACTGTTATAGTTTAACAACATTTTAAAGAGCATAAGAAATGAGTAATGAGGATGTTGGTACTGATCAGTCATAGGAGGGACTATAATTATGACGAATTAGCATAGTACTTAGTTGCAGGAACTTCTCATCCAAAGGTAGATCATAACCCGTACATACAAATACATATTATAGCACTAGCACTGCAACCCATGTTTTGTACAGAGATAAAGAAAATTGCAAATGTTAGTGGATTGTATCTGTTCTGTTGGCCAATTGGCTCAAAAGCGCATGTAAGTTGACCAGCTCAAGCAACCGAGACATCAAAACCAAGGCCAAATATCCATCGTACCAAATGCATGACTAAGATAATAACAGAAAGGGGGCTGTCTGATTTACCTGATTATTACAATATGACTGAAGTCCATCCATGTCACCACTTGATAAGAGCTTGCCCGCAGCATCACGGTCCTTCTTGTACATGAAGAAGTACTTGTTCTGTCGTGCCAAAGATATAGACAAGGATTTTCAGTTTCTTACACAGCTAACCAGAAACACTACAGAATAGATTCTGCATTATTAGTCACTAGCACAGTAGTATTTCTATGTTGACTTGTTTATTTAGCATGAAAATATTGCACTACAGAAAGCCTACAAGAAGCTTCTTACCTTCTTGCCCGGTTCCCCTCTCAGCTCAACCCAATTCTCGTAGGCCTGTTGACGTTGTTCATTGGCAGCATACAAGTCATCATTTAACTTTCTGAGAGCAGCTCTTTCATCCTCAAAAGATTTTTGAATCTTTTTTCTGTTCTCCTCAAGGGACTTCAGGTTTTTGAAAAGTAAATCTGCTTCCTTCTTCAAATTCTAGAGAAGACAACATAGGTCAGTATAAAATTAATGAAATGCGAATTGAAAAGAACAAGGCATGGCTTAAGAAAATACCTTATGTTGCTCATGAATGTGGTCCTTTTGATGGAATGCTTCACTCATTTCAGCCTCTGAGCCCATATTGGAGCACGCTTGCTTCCTTTGGGCTTTCAGTTCATTAATCTCTTTAATGAATAGTTTCTCTTCTTTCAAAGAAATTGTCTCGTGTTCCATGGTCCTCTGTTTCCTCACGATCTAAATCATCAGAATTTTGAACATAAGATGACAGATCAAAAATCGCAATACTATAACATGAGAAATGGTAATAAGGTCAATACACCAGCACAGAATTTTTACCAACTCATCAATTTCTTCAACTGAAGTTGCTTGATTCAACTTCCCAATCGTTGACCGTACACCATCTAGAACATTCCTCTTGCCGGCATGTGCAACTCTCGCTTCATTCTCTTCTTTCCGTGCTGTCTCTAACTTTTCCCGATACTCATCAAAGGCAGCCTGCAATATATAAATACAGAAGTCAGAAACGTGCTAAGGAAGGAAAAGGGGACTTGGAACATTTGGAGGCCTGTTACCTTTTGCTTTTTCTTGCGAGCATTAATTGCATCTCTTTCCTGAGTCAGGCGATCCAGGTGAACTTGAGCATCTTGTACCCTTGCCCAGACATCATCGCCCGCAAGTTTAGGAACCTTTACGATGAAGAACTTGTGTGGCTTCATGAGCTGTATATTTCCCTTGTCACTCTCAAGCTCAACTGGCTGTTCAACAGGCGACTCACTTGAGTCCTCAGCAATCTTCTCCTTGCCTTTGTGTGCATGTTCATCATCATTCTCGTGTTCCACTGGAACTACCCCATCAACAGATGAAGGTTCCACTACTGTTATGCAATAACTAGGGTCAGCATTGTACTTTCACAAACAACTATATTCGGCACCAACTTCAAGGAGAAAATATATAAATTAAAAAAACCAAAAGGTATAGCCAAATAAAAATAGCGCATACCTTCCAAAGATTTGGTTTCAACCTCAGTAGAAGATATATTGCATGCATTTATATTTTCAGTATCTTTGGATGTCTCATCTGACGTGCCTGTCGCCTTGTCGGTGTGAGGAGCCTTAACTCCAGATTCCAATGTAACAACTGGCAGGCAAGGATACTCAGTCAGAGAAACTAGCTCTTCACGCGTAGTTGATGCGTCAAGAATGTCTGGCTGGTCATTATTAGATTGGCAATCTGTAACCAAATCACATGATTCGCCTACTTGCAAAACATCACCAGCTTCACCAGCAACATCAGATTCACTTCCTGTGGCGGAAGAGGGTGTAACTTCATCTACAACAGAAGCTTTATTATCAGTCGATGCAACAGCTTCACCTTCATCAACAGCAGTTTCACTAAGAGATGCATCTCCTGTATCATATCTGAGTTCAGCGTCATCTGTCACAGCAGTTTCATGTTCCATGGAAACACCAGATATAACTTCATTGACAGTGGTGCTAGATATTTCATCAGAATTGCACTCCTCTGCTTGTACATGATCACAACTTTCCAACTCAGTATCCGGCTTTACGTAATCATTATCAGTGAAATCAATGGACCTTGGCTCATTATGGAAAATAGATACTGCAGCCGCATGCAACACAACATCTTCAACAACCTCCATCTCTTTACCTGGTTCTGCCTCAATCACAGCATTGTCACTTTTAACAGCTGCAGCTGCACCAGTGCCAGGTAATTCCAACTGCTCGTGCTTTCCAGTCTGTTCAGAAGAATAGTCATTATGGGCTAAATGTGCGTCCTCAGGGGAAACTTCTTTGTTTACCTCCTCCTCAACTTGGTCGGACGAATTCACATGCAGTGGAACACTCCTGTCTTCAGATGCCGACTTGAGATCTTGTGTTTGAACGCTATCTGCTGTGTTCATTTCCAACATGACAGCCTTCACATCAGAAACTGCCATGTTTCCATCACCTGCAGCATCTTCTACCTGGAGTATGTGATCCCCCTTAGGTTCAACAACAGGATCTTCTGAATTTACTGACTGAAGTGTGACAGAAGAGACATCATCCTTAACAGATTCATTATCTTGCACAATTTGTTCACTTATTCCCTCCTTCACAACTTCAGCAGGAATGGCCTCATTTGTTCCCTCCTTTGCTGGAGGTTTTGCTTCCTCGTCAGATGAGGGGACAACGACCGTATGACCATCATGCAAATCCCCCTCACCATCCTTTCCTACTACTTCGTCCACTTCAACCACACCAGAGGGAACTTCGCTCTCTCCCTCAAGCTCCAAAGAAGTGTCAGCAGTGTCCTTGGCACATCCAAGCCCGTTTGCAACAACTTCCTCTTCTGAAGGTACCTTAGAAGTCGCTTCACAATCGCCTCCATCCAATACTTCAGGCTCAGCCGTCAGTGCTTCTACTTGCTGCCCTTTGCTCCCATCAGCTTCTATCTCAGGAGCAGATGTGCCAGAATCAGCAATCTGCCCAACATGGTCATGCCCGTTGCTCCCATCCTGCTCAACCAACTCTGTGACTGCAGAATGCTCATGTTTGCCCTCATCGACGTGAATCACGGGATCAGTGGCAGTCACACTTGTGTCAGCATCATGCTGTTCAGTCACCCCCGAGATACCTGATCCATCTGTACCTGGCTCCATGATCTCAGCAGCAATCTCTTCTCCTTTGCTCTGCTCGCCACTGCCCTCAGACTCCGAAACAATGGTACCAGACTCAACATGTGTGGGGGGATTATCTGAACCACTGGACTCTGCTGGAGCATTCTTCTCTCCATCCTGCTGTTCTTCAGGAGCAACAACCTCAGTGGCAGCACTTTTTTCACTCTCTCCATCCTTGACATTAAGCACGGATTCCACGGCAGGTGGAGCAGAATCATCAGCAGCGTCAGCATGGTCAATCTTAAGTTCTGTTGCTGCATCACGACCATCAAGCTCTCCAGCGGCAGCAGTGCCCTGGTCCCCCAAGACAGCTTCAGAATTGTGGCTTCCCTCACCTTCTACTTCGCCCACGCCATCAACCTCAGACTCCACCGTAGCGGGGCTAGCATGCCCGTTGGAAGATGGAAGGCCGACGGCGCCGTCCAGAGCGGCCAATTCCCCACCGGCGGAGGGGTGATCTCCGCCCGCGTCAGCAGCCGGGGCTGCATTGGCCCGGGGCAGATCCTCCTCCTCCCGGCGGGAATCCGGCTCGGCCCCGGCGCCCGTGTCGGAGCCCGGGTCCGAGTGGCCGTCGGAGTCGCCGTTGACGATCACGAAGGGGCCGCCCACCCCCTCGCGCTCCTCCCCGGTCGGGGAGACCGCCTTGGCCGCCGCCAATTCCGCCTTCGGCGCCTCGCCGGCGCCGCCGCGCGCCGTCCCCTCGGCCGTCATTGCCGCACAACCGCGGATCACGCCCCGATCCTGCACGCCAGAGCCAGAAACAGCACCGCCCCGTCAGCCCCCGCCTCGCCCGGATCACAGATCAAACACGCAATCCGCCAACGACGAACGAACCCGGCACGAAACCGAGGCCTCATCACGCACACACACAGATTGACGAAAACGAAACAGAAGATCTCGAAGCAGGGGAGGCACTTACAACTCAGGCGCGGATCCGGGCAGCACCTCTCCTCCGTCGTCGACCCCTCGCCGCTCCGAACGCGGCGGCGGCACGGACGGGACGAGCGAGATCGATCCGGGCGCGGGCGCGTGCGCGATCGATCGGCGAGACGGATCTGTCTGTGTCCCTCTCTCGCGCGGCGTCGGCCTCCGTTCTGTGTGTTTGTGTTGTGCGCTCTGGGTTGGGTTTTGGCGTGATTTATTCCGAGGGCTCGACTCTCCTGCTCAGATCTCTCTCTACCTCTGCCTCTCTTCCTGCGGGCGCTGGCCGCGGCTACTTGTAGTGAGAGGGGAGGGAGGAGGAGGCGTGGTGCGGCCAGCCGAAAAGTGGTTCGGATATGGACCCGATCCGCCAACAAACTGCCTCGCTACGGGTCTTCTTTTTTTGGTTCTTGTTGGAAACAAACTCTGGCCTCTGGCTGGCTTCACACGGCCTCCTCTTGCGATTTCGTGTGGCCTGCGGGGTCCTCTACGTAAACTTGCGGATAGGTCTCCTTGCATAAATGTGAAATCCTTGAGGTGTATTTCGAAGAGCCTACTTGTAATTGTGTTGCACAGTAGGGTAGAGCAAAGATGGCAGGGTATACAAGGAGGTGTATGGTTTTGTGAGGAGGTGGTCTTTTAGGTTATGCTCAGAAGAAATTTGAATTTTTGAAAAAACGATCCAACTACCGTTGTTGTTTTTTTTGCGAAGAACTACTGTTGGTTAAGCGCGCGAATCCAATCGACGGTGGGTCTTAAGCTCGGGAGGCAGCGAACGCCCGCCACGTGTTTTTGCGCTTCTCATACTCTTTTCCCGCGCCTTCCGCACGTTCCCTCTTTTGGCGCTAGGTACTTGAGACTCCATCGATGTTATTAGAAGATCGTCCATTTTGGGTTATCGCCGAGTAAGATGAGACGCGTCCCATTTTATTGTAATTGTGTCGCGTAGTATGGTAGAGCAAAGATGGTAATCCCACCCGAGGAGTGATAGGGTTTTGTGAGCAGGTGGTCTTTTAGGTTATGCTCAGGAGAAATTTGAATATTTGAAAAACGATCCGACGACCGTTGGTTAAGCGCGTGAATCCAATCAATGGTGGGTCTTAAGTTCGAGAGGCCGCAGACGCCTGCCACAGGTTTCGCGCTTCTCATATTCTTTTCCCGCGCTTTCCGCTCGTTTCCTCTTTTGGTGCTAGGTACTTGAGACTCCGTCGATGTTCTTAGAAGATCGTCCCTTTTGGGTTATCACGGAGTAAGATGATACACGTCCCATTAATGATAAAAGATTTTTGAAGAGAGATGGTCATTTTCAAAAATTTGAAAAATGACGACCGTTGGTTAAGCGCGTGAATCCAATCAACGGTTACTCTTAAGTTCGAAAGGTGGCAAACGCCCGCCAAGCAGTCCCGCGCTTCTCCTATTCTTTCCCGTGTCGTCCGCTCGTTTCCTCTTTCGGCTTGTTTGATAGCCCGTGTTGGTGCTACCATGCTAGATATTCCAGATTCCATCAACGTTCTTAGGAGTTCTTTTCTTTTGTGGTATTAGGCAGAGTAATACGATACGCGTCCATGCCATTATAAAAGTTTTTTAAGAGATGATCCATTTGGAAAATGACAACCGTTAGTTAAGCGCGGGAATCTAATCAACGGTTACTCTTAATTTTAAAGGGTCGCAAATGCATGTCACGTCGTCCCACCCCCTATTCCTTCTCGCGCAGCCCCCCCC